CTAGACCCTTTCTGCAAGGCAATCTTTTTACACTTCCTTAATCTAGGCACTATCCTATTGAACCACAGTTACTATTTCAAACCTTTTCATTTCTCCCCAATGCTCCCGCTATACCCTCTCTTACTATCCCCTCTGACCTTGACTCAGACATACAGTTCACTAAAAATTTGAAGCTATTCACTGAGAGATAGATCCTTCTTCTCTCCTCATCTTTTCAAATGACTCAGACACCCTTCCCCTCTATCTTCTTATTCACTCCCATCTGTTAAAAAAAAAAGTGGCCCTTCTTGCCAAAGCAAAACCTTTACTTTTACCTTGGATCCTATACCCTTCCATCTTATCCAATAGATTGCCTGTGTTATTAACCCCACTCTTTCTCATCTTTAATCTCTTCCTATCTACAGGCTCCTTCCCTGCTGTCTGCAAACACACCCAGGTCTCTAATCAATTCTTAAAAACATTCTCACTAGATCTTACTATCTCTGTTGTCTGTCATTCAATATTTCTCTTCTTTGCTAAACTGCTTGAGAGAAAGTAATCTACATTAGGCACTTTAGCTCCTCTAATTCACTTCTAAACCCTTTATAATCTGGCTGCTTCCAGCCTCCTAATATAACTAAAAATTGCATGTACTCTCCAAAGTTGTCAATGATTTCTTAACTGCCAAATCTCACGGCATTTCTCAAACATTTTATTTTTCTTTGATTCTCTTACTCCCTACAGAAGCTATTCCAAATCTTTTCTCTTTTCCTGAACTCCCTCCCACCCCCCAAATCTCACCCCCTTCTCTCTCTCCCAGCAAAGAACACTGTTTATTATTTTAATGAAAAAATTAAGGTCATTCAATACAAGCTCCTTCTCCTCCCATTCTCTTCAGCCCAAAACTGCTTGAATTATCTCTCCCACTCTTTGCTTCTTTCCCCCAGTCTCTGACAAAGAAGCATCCCTTCTTCTTGCCAAGACCATCCTCTCTGTATGTGCAATTGATCCCATCCTCTTTTACCTTCTTCAGTAGATTCCATCCTTAATCACCTTCCCTCTCTCTCAAATTTTCAACCTCTATTAACTGGTTCCTTCCCTACTGCCTTCATATATGTCCAAGTGTCCCACTCTTTAAAAAATATTTTTAAAGCCTCTATCCTAAAAAAAAAAACCCTACCACGTTCTCAAGATATTGTCCTATATCTCTCCTCTTTCAACTTTTAAAAAGTTTTCTTCATTTGCTGCCTGAATTTCCTCTCCCCTCATCCAATTCTTTGCAATCTAGCTTTTGACCTTATCACTCAATTGAAACTTCTCACTCCAAAGTTGCCAATGATCTCTGAATTATCAAATCTGATGGTCTTTTCTCAACCCTAATCCTTCTTGGCTTATCTACTGCATTTGACACTATTGATCAGATATCTTTTCTCTCCTTGATACACTTTCCTCTCTGGGTTTTTACAACTCTTCTTTCTCCCAGTTCACCTCCTACCTGTCCATTCTGTGTCTCCTTTGTTTACTTATCACCCACATCATAATCTCTAATTGTGGGTGTTTCCTAAGGTTCTGTCCTGGGCCTTTTTCTCTTCTACAGTCTCTTTTTTGATAAGTTATAAGCTTCCAAGAGCTTAAATATAATCTCTATGCAGATGACTCCCAGATGTACATATGTCCCAATATTTCCCTCAAGCTTAAGTCTAGTATCACCAACTGCTTATCGGGCATTTCAAAATGGATGTAAACTTAAAATATCCAAAGACGATCTCATTATCTTCCCCTCCAAACACACTCCTTTCAATTTTCCTGGTCTGTTGAAGGTACCACCAGACTTCCAATGTTTCATGTTTATAACCTGAGCATTTTCCTCAACTCTTCACTCTCCCTTATGCCATACACCCAAATATATTCCAAATCTTGCTGTTCCTACTTTTGTAACATTTTTTGTATCCAATTCCTTCTATCCATACAGCTATCATTTTAGTTCAAATTCTTATCAGCTTATCTAGATTATTGCAACAGCCTCCTAACTGATCTTGCTACTTCAATTCTCTCATTCCTTCAATCTATTCTTCACATTGCTGCTAATTATCCATTGTGTAGATCATGTGACTTCCTACTCCAACAAGAGGCTTCCTATTGAAGGCACCACTAGCTTCCTGGTCACCTAGGCCTGAAACTTCAATGTCATCCTCAGCTCTTCACTGGCATTCACTCCACATATCCAATCTGTTTTAAAATTGTCATTTCTACCTTCACAATACGTCTTGTATATGTCCCCTTCTCTCCACCCAACATAGCCACCACTCTAATTCAGGCCATCATCATCTTACACGTGGATTACTACAATAGCTTTCTTTCTGGCTGGTATCCCTCAACTCTTTCCCCACTCTAATCTTCGAGTTGCTAAAATGATTTTCGTAAAGCACAGATCTGAACATGTCACCCCTACTCAACAAACTTAAGGGGCTCCCGTATATTACCTCCAGAATCAAATATAGCCTATTCTTTTGGGCATTCAAAGCCCTTCACATCTTTACCCTTTTTACTATCTTTTCTAAGTTGTTTATACTTTACCACTCTTATACACTCTATGATTTAGTTAAATTGGCCTGCTTGCTATTTCTTACATAATGAAATTCTATCTCCTGATGCCATGCCTTTGCACTAGCTGTCCCCATGCCTGAAATGATCTTTCTCTTCACCTTTACCTCTTAGTTTCCTGGGCTTCCTTCAACACTTAGCTCAAACCTCCCCTACTGTAGAAGGCCTTTCCTAAATCTTTCCACTACTAGTTCTTTCCCTCTGAAATTACTTTCAAACTACTCTGTCTACACCTTGAATGTATATGACAATTTTATGTTTTCTCCTCTATTATAATGTGAGGAGCTTGAGGGTACAATTTTTTTTCTTCCTTTCTTCATATCCCCAGCACTAAATACAGTGGCTGGCATGTATTTAAGCCCATGATCACTGATCGCTCATAAAACGGCCTTGGTGCCAATATTAACAAAGCTGTCCACCAAGATGTCAACTTCAAAGTAAAAAAGTAAATAAACCCCAAAAATGTACTCGAAAATACTTTTAACTTTCCCTCTATTACAATTAAATTACCATATTCATCCATCTCAAGACTGCTTGAAGACAGCCTTCTTTCATTAAGAAAGTATTTATTAAATGATTACTATGTGTCAATCACTGTGTTAGGCATTAAGAATATAAACACAAAAATAAGAATCCCTGCCCTCCGGAGCTTACACTTTATTGGGGGAAAACAGCACATATACAAATAAGTAAACACACACACACACACACACACACACAAAGTAAACAAAAAATAATTTTGGGAGGAAGGAAGAGCAAAGGTCTTGTGTGGCAAAGTACACTTGAGCTAAGTTGAAGGAGGCTAAGTATTTTAAGAGGCAGAGGAAAGAAGAGAGAATGCTCTAGGCATAGAGAATAGCCTGTGCAAATGCACAGAAGAGGGAGATAAAATGCCTTGTAAAGAAAACGAAATAGGTCAGTTTGACTAAACCACAGAGTACCTGAAGGAATATAATGTGTAAGAAGCCCAGACATGTAGAATGGAGCCAGCTTGAAGGGCTTTACATGCTAAACTGAAGAGTATGTATTTTATCTTAGATGCAAGAGGGTACCACGAAAGTTTCTTGAGCGTAAGTGCTTTAGGAGTATCACTGGCAGCTGTGTGGAAGTTGAGCTGGAAGAGAAAGAGACTGGGTACAAGAAGAACAATCAGGAGGCTACTATAATAGGCCAAGTGAGAGGTGAGGAGGGCTTGAACTGGGTGATAGCCATTGAGTGGAGAGAAGAGAATCAACAAATCTTGGCAAGTAACTGGACTTGAGGGTTAGGGAGAGAACAATCAAGGACTCTTCCAGGCTGAAAATGATGGTGACTTCAAAAGAAACAAAAAAGTGAGGAAGAGTAAGGCTTTGGGGAGAAAGACAATGAGTCTACTATGAACATACTAAATTTGAGATGTTTATGGGATATCCAGTTGGAAATGTCCAATATACTCCAAGTGTAGAAGGCTTTTTTCAAAGAGTATGGTTGAAAAAGAGAAGAGAAATATCAAATAGCTTGAAGGGATGGAAGATGAATAGGGAAAGAGAAAGAATAGAACTGAATATATATTACTTTGGAGTCATCTGCCCATAGATGATAGTTGTGCCTATGGATTTGATGAGCTCACAGAGAGTGAAGAGAAAGAAGAGAGAATAGGACACCTGGAGTATACCTAAATGTGGTGGGAAGGGGTAGGGGAAAGATGGAAGAGAATATGAATGATGATCTAACAAAGAAGACTGAAAAGTAATGGCCAGAGAAGGAGAAGCATGAGACAGATATGTCATGAAAACCTGAATGTAAGGGTAATTTTTTTCCTACTTTACTACTTCTACACTATCTGTCCAAACCTGTCATGATCTAGATGAGAGGTATCAAATATGTGGCCCAAACCAGATAAAAATGCAGGAAATATTTGAAAAAATAAAAATAAAATAAAATATAGGTAACATCACATTTTTAAAACTAAGTCTATATGCATCTTGTAGGGATCCTTAAGTATGGATTAGTACACCCATTTCTATTTGAGTTTGACACTACTGATCCAGACAGGCAACAAAGAACTAATAAATGAAATGAAGTCACTTGACTAGTACTGACAATAAATTACACAACAATGTGAGCGATGATAATGGAAACATAATGAAATCAAACAATAAAATTATATATTTCAAATGAAAGGCTCTGCATAAGAAGTACCTTCAGACTTCCCTAGGATCCCTGTCCTTTTACCTCACAGACCTGTATTGTTCCAAGAAAATATTTTAAAATACATTTACCTTTCCATTTAAGCCTGAGGTATAATTGTACTTGGAAATAAACCCAGGAATTAGCAATTTCAATAGGTATGAGTAAGTACCTTTGTCAGTATTTAGAATTTTAAGAACCTCCTCCACAATCAATATGAACATATCTACAATCATTTGTATACTTACCACACTGACTGAATTTCTCTTTTAGTTTCTGCCAAGTCAAGTCAAAAGGCAGCTAGAATGAAAACAGGTATTAGTAATACATACACAAAGAAAATTAAAGAAAAAAAGTTTCTTTTACATTTATTTGCTTACATTTCTGACAAATATCTGGTTTCCTTTGGAGCCTATTCTGTCTCTCATTCCACTTCCCATTGGGCCGGACACAAATCCTCGATCCATGTCGATGCTTCTTTCCAGTACAGCTCCCATACTAGGTCCCATTCTATCAAAGCTGGAGCTCATCCGGTCAAGGCCCATCCCTATTCCTCCAGTCATGCTGTTCATACCACCCATTCCACCACCTGGGGTTTTTACGGAGGGAGAAGAAGATTTGGGAGTTTCTAGTTTGATGATTTGTTTTTTAGATAAACAAAAAGGTGGGGGAGTTAGTCATTGTTGGGGAAAAGGGAAAGGGAAAAAACTTACTTTTTAAATATAATCATATTAGTAACATTAAAAACATTTAACATTAAAAAATACAAGTGTTTTCCTGAAAATTGTTACAAAATCTAATCTAGATTACTGTTGGTTAACAGACTACCTATGATATACTATCTACCATACATACATGTAGCATATTCCACATATACACCTATGAGCTTCTATCAGGATCAAACATATTCAGCTTATATAAAACTTGCACACAACATTGCATAGCTTGGGTTTTTCATGATATTTTTGCCTTTTATTTTCATTCCTTATTTTACTTGATCATTCCCAAACACAGAATTATGGTAAATAAATTCCTAGATACCAACTCCTACAAACTCTTAATTTGCCACTCTAAACAATTTATCTATTATTACATCACTTCCCCAATTTTCCTTACACATCTCCACTTGTTTGCTCAAATTATTCCCAGTTTTCCTCAGCTGGCAAGAGTCAATAGATACTATATAAGATAGATACCATCTTCCAACAACAAGATCATTAAGTTCCATATTAATCAGGAGATATGGTGAGATAAAGACAAAATGCTATGAAGCTTGGGAACTCAAGCAACTGGTTCATGTTTTCCCTTTAATCTTACTCCTGGTACTCTGATATTCTTGCCTACCCACTTATTTTATTCTATTCCTCTAGTCTCAACAATTCCCTCAGTTTATCCTTTGGCCCTATAACTCTCCTTACTCCTTGATTTCTTACATCAAATGATCACACTAAAATGCTAGGATCACATGACTTTAAAAGCATTTCAAAATGACTTGGCATTCAGAAATGGGCAACAAAAGGGGAAAGAATGGCAGAAACAAAAACAGGAAGGCAAAAAATTGATAAGACTTTGTGGGATAAAACCTATGACCAAACTACAGTAATGGAAAAGTATATCTTATTTAAAGAGAAAAGATTAGATAAAAGGGGTAATAAAATAGCACTGTATATCAAGAAGATACATCCTAGGGTATAAAGCCTACCAACTGTAGGAGAAAAGCATGGTGAAGATTTAGATTACAATCACAGAGGGAGAAAACAGGACTGGATGATGGGTTCCTGAAGCAGGAAAAAAATAGCACAGGGGAAGGATAAGAGTAGCGATGGGTCACTTCAGCCCTCTGAAAGTCTGCTGGTGATTGCTTTCTGTACTAAAATCAGAGCAGCTGAGAAATTCCAACCTACTTTTTTTGAAAGACCTGATTATGAAAAAGATCAGACTGGTTGTCAAATAAGAAATAACAAGCCTTTGGGAATATACTGACTACTAGTAGTTTGTAACTGAAAAAAAGGAAAGGGGTAGGATAAGGGAAAGAATTTTGAAGACATCAGAAAAATAACAGGCAGGAACTCATGGCCTAAGGGGAAATCACCTCAAGAGGAATTAAGTCCTTACAATAGACATAAATAATTCCCATGAGAAAGAATAGGAGAAGTTATCTAAAGAGATACACAAAGGAACTAGATCAATTTGTATTAAAAGACACGTACAGAAGATGGAAGCAAGGGTGAATCCTAAGATGGATGTTAGGAATGCTAAAGTCTAAAATGAGTCAAGGTGTACAATTAATGTTGAAGAACAATAAAAATCTTTTTAAAACACTTTGTTTGGGGACATAAGGGAATTTAAAAAGGATAGGAGCATTGCTAGGAGTAAACAGAATAATGATCATGGAAATCAGGTTAAGGACAGAACCATTTTACCTCCTTTTCTGTTTGTTTTTTCCACTAAGAAGAAGGATCTTTTGATTGGGAAAAATAACAGGGAATTGAAACCCAAGGTAAGTGAAAAAATGAGATGACCTAGATACTTAATCAACTGAAGTAACCAAACCCAGGCATTCTGATATCCTAAGAATTTGTGAATGTGATGGCTAAGTTGCTATTGGTGATCTCTGAAAAATGTGGAGAATAGAAGAGGTGCCAGAGGCCTAGAGACAACCAAATGTTCTTGCAATTTTTAAAATAAAGTGTGTTCTTCAAATGACAGGCTTCATGAGTTTAACTTCAATTCCTGGTAAAACTCTAGAACACACAATTAAAGGGATGGATTTAGGAGACTTTGAAAAGATTATCATTAAAAGCCAGCATAGATTTATCAAGTTATGCTGAATTCAGAAATACATTTTGCTTTACTACGCACATTTATAAGGGCTTTGATTTTCTTTTTCATTGTTGAGAAGTAGGAAAGAGGGAAAATAGATTGTTATTAATTGAAAAAAATTAAATTTATTTTACAAAATAACTAAGTCATGCCAGACTAACCTCATTTCCTGTAACAGGGTTACTAATTTGGTGGGTCAAGGAAACTCTGCAGACCTAATATACCTGGATTTTAGCAAGACATCTGACAAAGTTTCTCATTATATCCTTGTGAACAAGGTAGGCCGATGTAGGTTGGATGATGGTTGGATCTGGAATTAGTTGAATAAAAAGAACCTAAAGAGTGGTAATTAATGGATCAGTGTCAGGCTAGGTCTTTGACAGAACACTTATCCTTGGACCTATTTTTATCAATAATTTAGATGAAGATATAATTAAAATATTTATCAAACTGGCAAGTGAATGAAGCTGTAAGGTTTGGCTCACACAATGGATAGTTAAACAGGACTTCCAAAGATCTTGATAGGCTTACAGGGGTGGGGAACCTGTGGCCTGGAGGCTACATGTGGTCTTCCAGGTCCTTGGGTGAAGCCTTTTGACTGAGTTCAAGTTTTACAGAAAAAATCCTTTTATTAAGGGATTTGTTCTGTGAAGTTTGGCAAATGGCCGTACTTGAAGACCCAGAGGATTACATGTGGCCTCCAGGCTGCAGGTTCCCCACCCCTGGAGGATAATCAGCTAAATATAATAAGGTGCAATCTAATGAAGTCCTATACTTAGATTTTTTTTTTAAATCTACTTCACCATTACAGGATGGGGATAATATAACTAAACAACAGTGCATATAAAAAAGGACCTAGGGATATTAACGAAGAATGAGTTTACTATGGGTCAGCAATGTAATGTAACCGCCAAAAAAGTTAATGTGATCTTAGACTATATAATGGTAATACAGTAGAAAAGGCACTAGTTCTGAAGTCAGAGGACCTGGGTTCAAATATGGTTTCTGCTATTTACTACATATATGACCTTGGACAAGTAGCTTACTATCTTTGGGCCTCTGTTGCCTCAAAGATAAAATGAAATAGTTGGACTTGATGGCCTCTGAGATCCCTTTGAGAGCCAGATATGGTACAGTAAATAGAGCAATGTGTCTGAAGTCAGAAAGATCTGAGTACAAATCCAGCCTCAGATACTAGCTGTGTGATCCTGCCTGGGCAACTGACGTAACCCTGTTTTCCTCAGATTCCTCATCTGTAAAATGAGCTGGTGAAGGAAATGGCAAGCCACTCCAGTATCTTTGCCAAGAAAACCCCAAAAGAGGTCACAAAGAGTCAGACAGGACTGAAAAATGACTAAACAACAATAACAAAAGCATTATACAAATGTTCAATGTATTATTCTCTAAGTTGTGATTGGAACAAAATAGGTTTAGTCCTGCTTTAATAAGCCCTATTTAGACTACATCTGGAGTAAAATATATGCTTATTTCTGGGCATAAAATTTTAGGAAAGAGACTGACAGTCTGCAGTACATTCCAAGAAGAACAACCAGGATCTTGCAAGGAACTCAAAATGATGCCATATAACAACCAGGAAAAGGAACTGAGCATGTCTGGTCTGAAGAGAAGCTGGATATGTCAGCTATCTTTAAGATTTATTTTGTTGAAGGTGGGTTATATTCCTTTTGCTTAGCCAAAGATGACATAGGTACAAGCATTGGGTAGAATATAAAGAGGCAGCTATAGATTCGATCTAATGAAAAGCTAATAATCAGAGCTTACAAAAAGGAATAGGTTGTCTGAGGAGCTAGTGTGTTTCCTTTCACTGAAGGTCTTTAAGTAGAAGCTGAATGGCCACTTGCCAGGTATTCCTACTTAGGTATTAGTTGAATTAAATGACTAGTCAATCAGTCAATATGTATTTAAGCCTCTTCTATGTGCCAGGCACTGTGCTAAAAGCTGAAGATACAAAGAAAGGTAAAAGATATTCTATGTCCTCCAGGAGCTCACCACCTAATGGGAGAGACTACACACAAACAAATATGTACAAACAAGCTATATACAAGAAATAGGAAATAATTAACAGAGGAAAGGCACTAGCATTAAGGGACCAAAAAAAAAAAGACTTCATGTAGAAAGTAGGACTTTATCTAGGAGTTAAAGGAAGCCAGGAAAGCCATGAGATAGAGCTGAGGAGGGAAAGCATTCCAGGCACGGGGAAGAGCTAGTGAAAATGCACCAAGTCAATGGATTACTAAAAGGTTGATCCCAACTTTTATAATTCTATAATTTTATGTTAGGGATGAGAAGAGCTGACAGAAATAATGTACTGATTAGTTTATGACAAAATTGAAGCCAGAGAAGAGAATGGTTTAGTGGAAGAATTGTTAGTAAATTTTCAAGAGTTGGGAGTTTAGATGTTCAAGCTGGGAATGTAGGGAGTGTTTCAGGTCTACCAATGAAAAGCCAGTATGGCAAGAAAAGCTCAAAGGGAAAATAATGGTTTAGTAAGGAAGTGGGGTCAATAAACTGGGTATAAATAGTGAGTAGGTCAAGGGTAAAATAAGGCAACAAATAAGAGGACTAAAGTGGAAGAAACTTAACATCTGTTTCTTAGTAAGGTTATAAAGGTACTCTGACAAACTTTAGGAGATATGAAAGGAACCCAACTCCTAATCTTGGTCTGTACAATCTTAGGAATCCCTCAAATGAAAAATGTAAAGCAATCCATTGGATAACTCTCCTACCTCTCAAACAAATTAAAAAACAGTGGCAGCTGCAAAGCTTAGCAAGGGAGATAAAACTGGTGCTAGGACAAAACTAATTCTGTTGTACACATGGTCACATATGTTCAGGAAAATCTTCCTGGAGAAGAGAAACTTACAGTGGGGCTTTAGTTCACACATGTTTAGATTCTGAACAGGAATAATAAAGAAGTAAAAATCGATAGTCAAGAAAAAGAGCCTTCAGGGACAGCGAGGTGGCACAGTGGATAAAGCGCCAGCCCTGGATTCAGGAGGACCTGAGTTCAAATCTGGCCTCTTACTAGCTGTGTGACCCTGGGCAAGTCACTTAACCCCCATTGCCTAACCAAAAAAAAAATTAAAAAAAGAAAGAAAGAAAGAAAGAAAGAAAGAAAGAAAGAAAGAAAGAAAGAAAGAAAGAAAGAAAAAGAGCCTTCAATCAAACTACCACGGTTTTCCTATATAACCTTCTCTCACCAGACAAAAGTGTAAATCTAGAATCAGCATCATATGAGATTTTTACACTGTCATTATAAATTACTAGCAGTTTGTTGCATATAGCAAACATTTTAAAATTAATTTTAGGAAAAACTTTAAAACCTACTCATGCCAGATCCTACTGGACCCATGTTAGAAGCTCCCATTCCTCCTGCAAAACCTCCAATCATTGCACCACCTTAACAAAGACAGATAATATGCTAATTAACTGCAGTTACTTTCAAGAGAGTATCAGTAATTAATTTGAGAACATTTTAATATTTCGATTATAAGAAGCTAAAATAAGATAACTGTGTTCATTGAGGACTTTCTAAGAGTTCACTTTCAAGTGCTTTATGTGCAGATAGTCTGTTTTTAGAGTAAACTACAATGTAGCATCTTAGTCTTACCAGTTCATCATCAAAAGTATTCCCTTCTTTAAGAAACAAAACCGAATGAAACACTATATGTAATATTCCTTATTTTTAAGACAGAAGAAATAAAAGTATTTTAATATGACCCACAAAAAGAGAAAGAAGTATAACATGACAACATTGCCCTACCAATTCTACCAAAAGAATCCCCGAAGCCTCGATTCATTCCAACGTCACCACGTCCAAAGTCTCTTTCCATGCTACTAGCCATTCCACCACGATATAATTCTATAAAGAATGTGAAAATAATAGTAGAAACAATTTAAATATTTTCAAGCATTTCAATGTTTCTTTAAGAATATGCCTAAAATAAAAGATGACAATAAAGCTTGTAAATATGAAAATGTTATTTACCTAACTTACCTCCCATGCTGCTTCCCAGGCCGCCCATACCAGTTCCCATTCCTGCCATGCCAGTCCCTATCCCTCCACTCATTCCACTGCCCATGCTCCCTCTGAAGTCATCTATAGCACCCATTCCTAAGTGAAGGAGGGAACAATTTAATAGTAGGGAAGAGCTATACATAGAACACACTCCAGATTCCCCTCCTCCCCTCCAAATTAAGAATTTACCTACCTCCCATTCGGCTAATTCCTCCAAATCCTCCCATGCTATTCATTGTTTCCATGCCACCAAACCCAACTCCTACATAATAAGGATAAATTTGAAGATACTATTGTTAATTACTTATTTTAAACACATACTTTTGTCAGTAATAAGTGCCACCTGTTTGTTTTTCCTCTACCCATCAGACTACTTCACCAACTTTAGGTGGCTGCTTTCTAACTCTACTAAAAGTCTTTGTGTAGAATCAATTCCTACTAAAAGCTCCATGGGAAATAAGTTAGCATTAAGGGAAGCAGGAATCTATGTTTCATGTCTGATAGTTTTACAGTAAATGATGATGATCATACACACAAAATGTAAAAGTCTTGTACATACCTCCTCCCATTCTATTCATTCCTCCAAAACCAGGACCATCCATTCCCATACCTCAAATGAAATACAAAATACTTACTTTTAGAAAAATGTGGAAAAAGAGTGTAATGTTTCATGTCTATGGCCACAAAATGACGTAACAAAGCATAAACTAATGCTTTAAGTGATAAGGAATATTTGGGGTAGGGATCACTTGCCTGACCCCCTATTCCAGTCATCCAGTTGTGAAGGTTCAAGGATTAGGCCTGAGAAATTACCGGAGGACAAGAAAGGAAAGTGTCGCTTCCATTTTTCCCACCTCCCAGATCCAATTCTCACCCCACAATGTTTTTCAGTGAGTACAAGAATTTAGTTTAAATTCAACAAACATTTCAAAGAAGAAAAGGTAGAAGGTATGAGAAAAATCAAGCATCTATGTATCAGTACACTCTCTTCAGCTGGCTAGAATTGTTCAATAAAGCCTTCAACTTCAGATCTCCAGGTGCAGAAGAACTTCTACTTTACAGCACAAACACTATAAAACCACTAAAGGATATGTACAGGTAATTAGACCATTCCTATAGCTGTTATACCAGTATAATTTAGTATAGGCTGGGGAAGATTTGTCCTAGCCAAGGAAGCTAAGAAAGGAATACAACAAAGGGGCTAAGGAGAATACTTCTGCTTGGACTGAAAAGGCTACTACCATCACTGACCTCAAGTTCTATGGAATTATAGAAGCCAACAAAAATCATGAAATTTTAGCTGGTTAGGTAAAAAAAATGTAAAAATCATCTCAGCTAAGTTATATTGTTTCACTTGAATAGACATACATCCCTATTTACCCTTAATCTGATAGGCAAATTTATACTACCTTGTTAATAAATAAGTTGTGATACACCTTTACTTCATTCCACCAACAAACCTTTGGCCCTACTCTGTGCAAGGTAATTTGCTACGAATTTCTTTCTCCCCTAATGTTGTGTTAAAAGATTAGTCACAGCATAGTCTGTAAAAGAAAACTTGTTTTCTCCCACTCTCATTTCTCTTTGCTGTTCTCATGGTTTAGCTTCACTTTCAATTCAAGTGATGCCACCATATCCACAAAGCTCTAAAGGAGGCTCTTAATACCTTACAGAAAAGTATAGAAATATAAGCTTTGTTACTGATCAAGCAGGGCAAATTTCAGGGGGAAAAAAAACATAAAAATGCTTACTTCCTGGTCCTATGTTTCCCATTCCACCTCCCATGTTCAACTGATTGGCACTAATGGGCTGCCCACCTGGTCCAAGCCCCATTCCAATGCCTCCAAGACCACCTAAAAACAAAGATAACAATATACAAAACTTGGTGGTATTAAGGATCCAATCTTAAAATCAAGTAAGTTTTTAAAACATCCTAAGCCTTTACAAAATTACTGACCAGAAAAAAGTGACAAAGAAATTTAGAAACATAATACTCTGGTACATTACCACAGCAAAAGACAAGCAAACAAACAAACAAAAAAATCACACTTTTATTAAAGGACTCACTCCTTGATCACCAAGGTTTTCTTGGTATAAGCTCCTTATTTTCTCATATCTTGGTTCCTATTGCCTATATATAATTTTTGCCTATTTTTTCCAAAGCAGGACCTGAAAATGACTGAAACTTATTTGTAATAGTAGACTGTATATTGTATATGTAAAAATAGGATAATGTTTTCACAATTTCCATTAATTACTAACTGCCTTTCTAATAATCTAGTTATAAAAGCATTTCAAGGGCCAATAGCAACAAAGCCATGTCCATTACCCGTAGATGAAAACTTCACATAAATAATATTACTTCCACTTAACTAAACATAGCAAAGAACTCTATATATTTTAAATTACTAACTAGTGATCTAAAAACCATAAGCATTTCTGAGTAGTTAACTCATGTTACAAAGAATGAATTTATTCCCCAGTCCACAAAAAATAAATTATTTAGTCTCAAAACATTTCATTTTTTAAGTATAGCTTTACTTACGGGGCAATTGAGGTGTCTTACTATCATGTGATCGATAGTCTTCATGAGGGACTGATTTGTCATCCTAATAAGAAAACAAATATATTATATTGTTAAACTGTGAAACAGCATAACTACAAAGATGTTATAATATACATAAAGCAAAGGGAGGCATTTTTGGTGGGTTGGGCAAGGACTCACCATTTTCACATGCATAGGTCTATCAAATAAAAACTGTCCATTGAACATAGCTGAAGAGTCAGTCAAGGAAAGCTAAATCAAATTACTGCATATGAATATTTGAGAAATTAACCAAAGAAATCCCATTTTATACTTAAACAATTACAAATATTTGAAACAATTATTTCCTAGGTTACTAAGTATTATAATTAATAGCCTCTTTTAGGTATACAAGGTTTTAGTTTCTCTCTTAGCAAATAATTTTTTTAAAAGCACATTTAACTTATTTAATCCAATCATTCATAAAAGAAAAGAAGATGTTTCATTTTAATGTATATTATTAGTGTACAAGGGATTATATAAAACAGCTGCCTTTATATAGGAAACTTACTTACAGAAAACCCTGAATATTTTACCAGGACAGAACTGTAATGCTATTTCAAGTTTCAGGAGTGACTTTAGTACTTGGATGTAATAAAGGTCTGCATGTACTGGAGACTAAAGTCTAACATACAGCTAAGCCAAGTACAGTGCAAAGAAGGCACAAGGCAACAGATTATACCAAATACAACTGGCCTAAACTTTAACAATAAAAAACAAGGGGAAAAATGGTATCAGACTCCTTCAACCACATTAGATATAATACTAAAATGTAAATTAGGATACAGATTGCTTGAACTGCTTCAATTGCTTGATCAAAAGTGACTGTGCCCATTCCTCTGCTCTTGCCATCTTTGTCTTCTTTAATATCTGCCCGTTTTACTGTTCCAGCTATGCTGAACACCTCCTTTAGCTTCTTCCAACCAACTTTGAAGTCAAGCTTAACATAAAATTGTATCAGTTATGTTACTAATATACCTGTCTCCCCAATTAGACAACAAAATCTTTTCCAAACTCCAAAATTACAGATACCAAAAAACTATAATTCTTACTACCATCATACAACATATCAATAATTCTCAAATGATAAACTGTAAATCTCCTTAAGTATTTTTTAAACTCACTTAATGTCACATCTACACATTCCCTTCTCCTTAAAAAAGTTTAATTCCCAAAAGTCTCACCTGCTCAATTAGCTCTGAGAAACATCTCAGCCCTGACCAAATTACACATTTGACACTTGTACATCTAATTCTACTGAAAGAAATTAATATTGAACAGTGTTGTTAATTTAATTTACTTTCATAAGTGTAGAACAGCTGGACAGGTATTCTCCAAACAAACCAACTACAACACATGACAATTCATGAATACATATAATTCATGGACCAGATATGCAAAACAACCAGGAAGAAACCCATTTACCAACATTAAAATAAAAGCACATGCAGAAGAAACAAATGTTCAGAACTGTACAAATGTTTAATTCCACAGTTCTTCTGGGGGAAAAACACCTAAACTAAAATAATGCATTTATACTTCCAATTTGTACAAATGTTTTTTTATTTAAGAATTTAAATAGTTACTATTTCACTTATTTTTATTAAAAATAAGCAAAATGTTCTTGTAAAACCCACAAGCAATTTGGCCAATGACAATGAACTAATGAAAAATTAGAACTATACATCTGAACAACAAAAAATTTGAGACTAAAGCTTAAACTTACATTAGCCACAAAAATTGTAGAACCAAGTCTACCAGACTGCAAATTACTGATAACCTCAGGAGGAATATTTGGATTATTGAGAATGGAAGGTGGTAAATTCATCAACCCCGAACCCATATCAGAGACATGTCCTCCTGGAAATGATCCTCCTGTACGTTGCAGTGCCCTACGAGCATTTTCTCCATCAGGATCCTATAACACATATTGAATATTAAATACCACTAGATGAATCAATATGTCTAAAGTCATTTAAAACAACTTGAAATTCTACAGAAACTAACACAACTGGCTCAATATTAATGACCATCTTGCAGACCCAGCTGAAGCATCAAGGGCTTATAGGCAGAGACTGAATTATTCTTATACATAGAAAGGAATCCTACACAAAGTCTGTGGATAGATAAAGATTTCAATCTCCAGGGATGTCAGTTTAGTACCTTTTTCCAATCACTAAAGTCACTTAAAGAACTTGAAATTAGTTTATGTTTACTTCATACTAGGGTACCATAAAATATATACATAAATGTACACCCTAAAAAGAAGAAAAGTACTTACCTGTGGCTTCTTTCTTTCCAAAATGCAGCTGTAGTGAATTCTCACTACTGATGCCCAATGAAATACAGTATTTGAACTGATTAGCAAATGCAAGGCTTTAAAACCTTGGAAGTACACGACCCAGGGCTTTGAAGGAAAAATCATTTTTAAAACCCCTTCTCTATGAAGTCTTAATTTCTCTCCTAAATGGGAATATTTACCTATTCCTTAAACCTTCTACTCTACTGAAGTGATCATGATCTTGAGACCAAAAGTGGAGAAGAAAGTTTTTAGTTACAAACTGGATTAGAGATTAATGCCCTAATATGGTCAATAATAAAAGATTTCTATTATCCCAGAAATTTTTAATTTTAAGTAAGACAGAAGTGAAACAAGCTCAAAATGTGAAAAACTTCTTCCCTACTTTACAGAATACACAACAGCATCTGTAATGAATAAGCTTCATCATCCACTGAATACATTTTATTGCAAGAGCTTAATTAGGCTCAGCATAATGCTAATCAGAAAGGGAGAGGAGCATGGGAGCTTGCGGGGGTGCCTAGGAAAAGTCATAGAGGCAAAGCAGAAATAACAGTTCAGGCCTCCAAAGCTGATGCCTGCATGGAGCATGTTAAGAGCTATCTGCTCCTGTGCTAAATGGTCCTAGATTGTCACGCTTTTTAAAGTTCTGGTGTCTGTTTTATTTTTGTTTGCTGGGTTGGGCATGGGAAGTGGACTTGAAATTTCATGAATGTGAAGAACTTTAGGTGTGGAAACTGGCACTATATAAATCCCATTTGACTTGACTTGAAATATCACCTATTAATTAGTCTTTTTCCTTCACATCCCTATGCTGACTTTCAGCAGTGCTCTATCTCTTCTAATTTGCTACTTCTAATCTCCAGTTTATGTGGTAAAAGAGAATAACCAAATTCTTTAGAACTTGGCCTAAAATAAGAGTAAAGGGAATCAAGAGGCCCAAAGGGCTTATCTGTGAATAAAGCACATTACCTCTAATGCACAAACTTTATGACATATGTTTTGGTTTTTGCTTCATTCTTGACTTTCCATTCTGTTCTAGATAGTTGAAGTTGCTAGATAAATTAAATTATGCTGAACAATTAACATTGGTAGGGAAAGTACATGGAAAAACAAGCAACTTTTGCTTCATAAGTTATATGAGGAAAATTTTCACAAAACCTAAAAATTTAATTTGTCATATTTCAAGATGAAAAAGAAGTCAAGAAATCCTATTATTGGGAAGAAACAAAATGGGATCTTAGAACAAACTTGGTCTCCAACATCAGTACAGATACGATAATAAAAAATGAGCCAATACATAAAAATAGTACTTTTCTCAAGAGGCCAAGCCAAAAATCTATTATGAGTTGGGGGACAAATTTACAAATACAGATGTGTATAGAATTTCCATGAATCTCCATTTAAGATTGGATTTACACTACAACTATGGGCTGTTTTTTGCATACAAAGGTAAACATTACCTACTTCTCCAATATCATATATGCCTTGAGTTTTGTTTTGTTTTGAATAAGAAGTAGTTTTATTTATTAGGAATAGTAATGGTTGCACAGAGTCATTTAGATTCATTCATACCTTTTGTGATCAATAGCATGCTTGTTGGAAAGTTGACTAGGGTTGAAGGCCTACTTCATGGGAACAAATTGTGTTTTTTTTCTGTAAAAAGCTAACTGGGGTTGGAGGGAGATCAACACCATGACCTATGCTCTATTAACCATGACAAAAATCAAAGAAGCAATATAAATTTCAGATGCACTGATGGCTTTTTTTGAATAGATATTTAAGAAGACTTCAGTAGATAAAAATCACTAATGATGCTGATGCTAAGATACTCATGAAATTAATGGAATATGGCTTATTATCCTAGGAAGTGGAAGGAACCTTAGAGGTCTAGTCCCAACTCCATCATTTCACAGATGAGTAAGGAAACTGAGGCCTAGAGAAGTTAAGTGACTTGTCCAAAGTCGCTTAGTGGCAGATTCAGGATGTGGGTGAGGGTTACAAAATCCAGCACACAACACAGCCATGTGCTCACTGTCAACATTTTTTCTTCTGTAATTATCTCTTTTTAACAAATCGTAAACCTTGAATTTTAATAAATGTAAAAATTTGCTAACTTACAAAAAGTTTTAACTGCAAGGTCACTACATTGTTGACTAAAACAACAAATATAGATCAACATCCTACACGAAAAAGATTGCAACAGTACCAACCCATATATCAATCTATCAAAGTAACAACAAAAACATTAAGTTATCAGTGAAAAAAGTACACAATTGTCCTATTTCAACTGAATAAGCTGCCGCTAACTTAAGAATATATTTTGTTATAAAAGTTTAATTTTTAATTTGGCTGACCAAACTCATTATACATTTTCCTCACAGAAATAATGTTATAAAATATGGCAGGTGGGGCAGCTAGGTGGCGCAGTGGATAGAGCACCAGACCTGGAGTCAGGAGGATCTGAGTTCAAGTCCAGCCTCAGACACTTGATACTTACTAGCTGTGTGACTCTGGGCAAGTCACTTAACCTCAATTGCATACCCCCAAAAAACAATAAAATAAAATATGCTAGGTACTGTAGGCTGCCGTATTGAAAACAACAATAAAAACTTTTTACCCCAGGTTGTATCTGAGGCACAGTACTAATAGCACAATCTTAAATAATACCTAACCACAATTAATGATATTATTTCTATGGGAAGATGCATTCTGAATCTCCAAACTAGAAAAATACACTTTCCCTTACCGTAGCAGCAGGACTTTCCAATTCTAGCCTTGTGAGTTCTAAAACTCCACCTACACTATCTGTTCATGTTGAAGTCATTTATGAGTGTTCAGAAGTTGGAGGCTGTCAGTACTAATGATCCATTAAAATTAAGAGAGCGTTACTATCTAGACTTTCAAACTCTAATATTAGAGAGAAAAAAGAAGAAACAAGTTAGGAGAGCAAAAAAACATGCTATTAATTTGGAACATCTAATTTTACATATAACCAATATGACTGGTCAGATAAATTTTATTCCAGTGTGGGGGCTCCTTATTGAAATACTAACAGAGTATCTGTGCTAGATGCTGAAAAGACAACAAAGTATGATCTCACAATCATTTTTTATAGGACAGTGGAGAAGGGGGGGAAGTGAAGGATACTTTAGTGTGAATATACAACTTGAGTATTTGGAAAAAGAGTATATCACTGAACAACTAATCTACCTGAGATTTTCTCAGTTTAGCAATTTCTTTCAATGGTTATGACTTAGTAGATAAGTCCAAGAGAGCTGACTGAGATTTGATACTCAAAGTGGCTAATTAACTTGCATAGAATCACACACTGTTATTAGAGGCTGGATCTGAACCAAGGCCTTCCTAATTCTAAGCCTGGCATTCTGTCTACTTTCATGATGCCTTTATTTGTCACATATAAAACATTATAAATGTCACACATTTAAGGAACTATAGGAAGCTTTTGAATCTTAGTACTTATATTTCACTTACAAAATGCTTTTAAAAATATGGTCAGATAAAATGGTGATGAAAACATTTAATTATGAATCACATTGGCCCAAATCTCTTTCCTTTCCCACTCCAGAAAAAAATTCAATTTAACAAACAAATATTAAGCATTTGTATACTGGGGTGGGTACCAAAGGAAACAAAGTTTAGATAAGACAGTGTTAGATAAGAGAGGGAAGTCCCTAAGATGAAGATGCTGAGATAATTAAACTCCTCAAAAGAATACTACGGTTTCTGAATCAGGATTAGAAGAATATAGGTGGTCTTTTCTTTCCCAAAATGGCTACTATAGAAATACGTTTTGCATGACTGCATATGTAATAATCTATATCAAATTGCTTGCCTTCTCAAGAAGGGTGAGGGGACAGAGGGAGGAAAAGAATTTGGAACTCAAAAATTTTAAAAACAAATGCTAAAAATTGTTTTTACATGTAATTATAAAAATTAAAATATAAAGATTTAGGGAAAAAAGGAGAATACAGATGTAAACTATTAAGTAAGGACCACTTTTGATGGCTATATCTTTTTTAGCAAAACTTTTCATTTTAGGTTATTAAGGCTTTGCACTCAGACTGACAATCCAATTGTATTCTCACACTAGGCTACAACTGGTAGTTTAATCTAAAGAGAATTTGTCATCAAACCAATGATTCACATCAAACTGAACCTCCAATGGTGATAAGACCTGTTTTTTTCCTCTATCTCAACTCTAAAATTCCTCTCATAGTATTCTGGGAGAAAAAAAATCAGAACTAGTCTATAATCTAAACACTGAAATTATTATAGATGTGGAATATAGGGTTTATATATAATTTATATATACGTAAAGTTAGCTTTTCCCATACTAACGATTCCATGATCATTTCAGCATTTTGAAAATGACCCAATGAAAATGAATCTGCACATACCTTCTGAATACTTTTCCTCCTTTGTCCTTCTCCCCCTCAAAAATGTAATGTTTTGTATTTTAAGTCCATTAATTGAGGGGCTCAAATTCAAATGACTGATTTATAAATTGTCCTAAAGTCAATAAGCAGTTTAATATGGGGCAGAACTCATTATCACTGTTTAAAAATTGGGTTCTTATTGATTTGTAGTAAGCAATAAAATATTCACTTTATTAAGTACATAATTTATATTATCAATTATATAGAATACATACATTTACAAAGATAAAACTACAATCTAAAAAGCAATGGAAAATTTCTATGCTAAACACTGAGCACTTGAAATTGGCTACTTTAAATTTCTGGTTCATTTAAATTACTAAATTTCTCAACTTCTGCTTATGGTAACATAGGGTAAAACAAACATACAGGTTAGCTACTAAAGGACAAAGAGAAAATTTATGAATTGACAAGCATAACCACCACTACTACAAAATTTCAGCCGCTTTCTATGCTAAAGAAAATATTCCTAATGAAGCTAACCCACATAACAAAAATGAAAGACAAAAAATAAAAATGCTCCAGTTTTTAAATTTTCAGAATAAAAAAATTCTTACCTCTTTAATATTCAGGGGTCTTCCACTAAGATCATATTTGTTCATAGTTTCTAATGCTTTCTTTACAAATTCTTCATCTTTGAATTCAACCACACTTAGGGAAGGAAAAAAAAATTTTGAAAGTATTTAAGTAATTATATTTCTTTAAACCATAAGTTCAAAATTGTACTTTAGGATACTAAAAGTAATCCTTACCCACAACCCTACATCCATGAAGATTTGTCAACATATGTAAGAGAAAAAAAAAGTTTTGGTCAATAAAGTTAACAATGGATTCTGACATTTCAAGTCACTGTAAGACAATCATTACAATCATGTCAATCATTTTCACCTCCTGAACAGACATAAATTCTAATTTCCAAATCACAAAAAAGTTCTCTGTAAACTCTTCTTAAAATAAGACTGTATCAATAGACATCTAACATCGTTATGTGAAAAAAAAAATAGTCTTGCATCTTCTGCGAAACAAAAGTTGCAAATAAAAGTAAGAAGAGCCAGAAGGAATAATTTAAGATACCCAATATAATTATTTTTGAACAATTAAAATGTCAAAGGCATTTCCAAAGCCTGTATTGGAAACCGTTTTTAAAATGTATACTCTTTAATTCTACCAAAAAGAAAACATTAACCATATAATTATTCTCACATCTAAAAAAATATATATATCTTTCACAGATGAAAGGCTGCACCAAAATTAATATATGAAAAAATCAGATTGTTAAATAGTTTGTAGAATTTTAAAATAATTACACAAATGATTAATACCAATCAATTGGCAGTGGAATATTGTTACTAAATTATATTTCTCATGCACCCAACAGATTTTTTGCTCACTATCAATCAATCAACAAGCATTTATTAAGCACCTACTATGTGCCAGGCACTTTGATAGGCGCTGGGGATACAAATGGCTAAATATAATCATTTATTTAAAAAGGGACTTTTCAGTGTATCCTTCACTACATTACATTCTTTGTTGCTGGCAATCAAAATCTGCTACCAACCAATTCCTTCCACTTCAATTTAATAATCTAGTTCATTAATACCAATGGGTCAGAGTACTGCCTCTTAAGTAGCCCTGCAAGCTCCTAAATTAGGCTCTTCAAAAGTTTCAAACATACATTCTGAATTAACACCTTTAAGCTACAGGCCTGCCATAGGCCTTACACTTAGGAAATTTTATCCATTCGGTGACTTAAAAAAAATAAAAAGAAGATCCCTTAAGACATTCAGAACACAACAAAAATCCTATGTTAAAATCTATTGGCTAAGAAGCATTACCTTAGAGCATTAGGAAAGTAAACACCATTTTTGTAAGCATTTACAACACTCATCCCTTCCATCAGCTAGTTTGATTTTCATGACAGTGTCAAACTTTCCAGTATAGAAACCTCAAATCTTTCAAAATAAAGTAAAATAAAAATGAAACTTACTTCCAAAAACTGGTACAATTATTAAGCAAAAATTAAACTGCTGAGGAACTTTTAAACCTCTAGCAGATTATGGCCCACAGCACTTACCCTTGATTTTCCTTCCGAATCCTTAAAGAGCTCCACGTATGTAACCTCACCAACTACATAAGACATACAAAAGGAAAATACCAAGAAACAATGCATTTAAACACCAATATCTTGCTTTACTGTGCCCTTGTGCACAACTCTACAGACAAGCACCTATTATTCACCAACAATCAAAACCAGACCAACATACCTCCTATCAATGGCTATATAAATTTAACTAATTTTCAGAAATATACAGCATCCACATTCTCTAAAAGAGCTAAACAACTATATTTAACCTAATTCATACTACAGATCATATTTTGGCCAGCATGATATAGTTGGTGAACAAATGCAGATATACAGATAGTCCCTTAACCTATCAAATTAAAAACATCAACATTAGCACTTTTCAAGTAACTTTTGTCATCCTACACACAACAGCTGTTTTAAGGTGACCTTCTACCTGAATGTCTTCAATCATGTTTGCCTTCAGTAAACTAAATTTACAAGTCATATTTCCCAGCAAGCCACACACTTTCTAAATGAGTTCAATGAATAAAACCAGTCAAATAGTTGTCACCTTACAACAGATACACCAGTGCAAAGTTTTTATTTATTAAAAGGGAGCAGCCTCAAAACCAAGTGCATACTTTGTAGCACTTTTTGAAACTCAAATTATCAAAATATAAACAAAACTAGCTTTTGCAAGATCAAGTATTAGAAGGACTCCCCCCTCCCCAAACCATCCAAATACAATAAGTTTAGGGTTTTCAGGTTATTCTGATACCAAAACTGCAACAGCAGTAACGAAATTTTTATAAAGAACAGAAGAGACAGCATCATGGCAGTCATGACAATGCAAACGAAATTAATTCCACAGCCAGATTCCAGACTCCTCCAAGGATATACAAAACAGCTTTTGAAAAAAAAAAAAGTCAGGCCTTATTCATACTTTAGCTCGCTAAGTGTATTGCTTAACAAATATAATACCCCCATATTGTTTTTGGGTTTTTTTATCTAGGAAAAAAACCATCAACTATAGACAAAACCTTGATTAACAAGATTCACTGTGGCATATGTATGCATATATACACATATATAATACACACGTATATAATTTACATACACATACATATACTGGCTCTCTAGTATAACACTAATATTGCAAAATATAGATATTTAGTTTACATATACTACCTTGGAATTCAGATGCCTCAAGTGAAAAAGGAGGGAAAGATAATTCAGGTCTCAAGAAATCAAACCAAAAACAAATTTCAAAACTGAGTCGGAGACTCCAGGGAATAAAAAATTTATATTAACTACTTCCCCCTCTCTCCCTTTCCTACATGGAACGGATTATCAAGAGTGGGTTATTTCAGAAATAGTTACCTTTTTCTCTCATAAGATCTTTTATAGCTTGCCACTTCATGTCATATGGGATGTTGCTAATAAAAACTCTGTTACGGTTAGGACCCTTCTTTTCCCCAGTGCCCGAATTCTTGTCTTTTGAATAAGGATGGAATCTATTTGCCTTCTTATTTCCTGTAGATTTTTCTTTTAAGTCAGATTTCTCTTCTTTTACAGAGTCATCATTCTCCCTAAATTAAAAAAAAAAAAAGGAAGAGGAAAATTTAGCCAGGCTTTGAATGCAACAATCTACATCAAGTAAATATTCCATATCTGACAGCTCAAAAAACACTTTCCGTGGCATACACTCTAGAGAGGAAGCTGAGGATTCAGACTCCTAGCTCATGTTGCCCAAAGCACAGTTAAGTAACCTACCTATTTCAAACTATGGTGCCCAAATCCTCACTTGGGAACTAGATACCAACAGGCTGAAAACATTTAAACTATCATCAAGCTCTGCACATCTTTTTTCTTTTGGGATTTCATCAGTATACAGAGCTCTCAATAAGGAAAATCCTTTTACCAACACAATTCAGAACCAGAACTACTCTTCAACTTAGAATCTTGGAGAGTTTCCTAGGACTTTAGAAGTTAAGTGCCCAGGACCACATAGCCAATATGCCGCCATGGTGCAACTTAAATATGGGTTTCCTAATCCCAGGTAAGTTCTCTCTGCTTAACTTAGTATCTAATAAATCCCAACACTCCTTTTATAAGATTGAAGGGGCAAAGGAGAGAGACAGAGAAGGAGAGAAGTTATTCTACTACTAAGCATTTATGACAGTAAGTAAAAATCTCTCCTTTGGAAAATTATCTCTTTTCAGGGCATCAGGACTAATATTAGTGCTCTCCAAAATGAAATGTATTAATTAAACGAAAAACAGCATTCTCGTCTTTATACAGTTTATTCCATTCCTAGGAAATAACCTGGATCACAGGAACTCTCCTCACATATACCACTTCTTTAAAAAAAAAAAAAAGCTCTTCTAGGCTAACTTGTTCTCAGTTTTTATTGACTGGTGCTCTTAAAAGATCTTTTAACCCTCCTGTGTCTTAAGTTTTCAACTGTAAACTATGATGCAATACTATTATGTTCTTTTTACTATTACCACAACACAGCTGTTAAAAAGTACTTAAGTGAAAAAGTATGATTCTATAAGTTAATAAATTTTAATCTAAGACTACTGTAGCAAGCCATGTACCCCCCCCCCTTAAGCAAACCCAATATAAGAAGACATGCACTTTCTCTTATAGAAGTATTCTTTGCTTTAGAAAATAGCAAGACTTGGTAATTATCAAAACAATCTGGTACTTGCTAAGAAAAAGAGGGGATCAGTGTACTAGATTAAGCATACAATACACAGTAGTAAATGACCATAGTCATCTAAAGTTTGATAAACCCAAAGATCCAAGTTTTGAAGACAAAAACTTATTTTCTGACAAAAACTGCTAGGAAAACTGGAAAACAGCATGGCATAAACTAGGCGTAGTGATATCAACATTTCACATCATATACCAAGATAAGGTCAAAATGGGCACATGATTTACACATAAAGGGTGGTACCATAAGCAAATTAGAAGAGCATGGAAGAATTTACCTGTCTGATCTATGGATAAGAGAAGAATTTAGGACCAAACAAGATACAGAGAGCATTACAAAATATAAAAAGGATCATTCTAATTACATGAAATTAAAGTTTTACACAAACAAAAACAATGCAACCAAGATTAGAAGGAAAGCAGAAAATCAGGAAAAAATTTTACATCTGATAAAGGTCTCATTTCTCAAATATATAAAGAACTGAGTCAAATTTATAAGAATACAAGTCATTGCCCAATTGATAAATGGTCAAAGGATTTGAACAGGCAATTTTCAGACAAAGAAATCAAAGCTATCTATAGTCATATGAAAAAAATGCTCTAAATCAAGCTTCTTAAAACTGCATCATAAGACCATATAGGGTCACAAAAAATTTGGGAACATTAAAAGGTCTTTGAACATGCAATGAGCAAAAATTAATTAAAAATCAAATACATAATGAATCTGAGGTGTTTCTGGTAGTGCTTGCCCATGTTGCATCATGCAACTTCACTGCAGCCTTGGTTCTCAACACAAAGCACTTGTACTTTTTGCACTGTGCATGCCCTAGGCCACGCTACCAACAAAAGCTGCCAAAACGTGAAAAGGGGTCACAGTGGGAAATGTTTAAGAAGCCCTGCTCTAAATCACTATTGATTAGAGAAATGCAAATTAAAACAACTCTGAGATACCACCTGACACCTATCAGATTGGCTAAAATGACAAAAAAGGAAAATGATAAATGTAAGAGGGGATGTGGGAAAACTGGGACATGAATGCACTGTTGGTGTTGTGAACTGATCCAACCAACCATTTTGGAGAACAATTTGGAACTATTCCCAAAGACCTATAAAACTGTGCATACCTTTTGATCCAGCAATACCACTGCTAGGTATGTATCCCAAAGAAATATAAAAAAAGGGAAAAGGACCTATCTGTATAAAAATATTTATGGCAGCTTTTTTGTGGTAGCTAAGGATTAGAAATTGAGGGGTGCCTATCAACTGGGGAATGGCTGAACAAGTTGTGGTACACGAATGGAATGGAATATTAGCTATAAGAAATGACAAGCAGGATGATTTCAGAAAAACCTGGAAAGATGTAAATGAACTAATACCAAGTGAAATGAGAAGAACCAGGAGAACACTGTACATAGTAACAGCAATACTGTACTATGAAGATCTGTGAATGACTTGGCTATTCTCAGCAATACAATCCCGAAGGACTCATGATGAAAAATGCTATCTGCCTCCAGAGAAAGAGTGGGTGTTGTCTGAATATAGACTAACACAAGCAATTTTTTACTTTCTGTCCTTTCCTTTCTCTCTCTCTCTCTCTCTCTCTCTCTCTCTCTCTCTCTCTCTCTCTCTCTCTCTCTCTCTCTCTCTTTCTCTCTCTCTCGTCTTCCTGCACAAAACAGCTAACATGGAAATGTTTTACATGACTGTACATGTATAACCTATATCAGATTACTTACCATCTCAGGGAGGGGCGAGGGGAGGGAGATAAGGATAGGATTTGGAACTCAAAATGTAAAAAAAAATGTTAAAAACAGCTTTTACATATAATTGGGGACGAAATAAAATGCTATTTAAAAAAGGAAAAAGAAAATAGCAAGACATCCTAGAACACTCAATTTATTTGATAAAAATTCAATTTACCGACAGCCTTTTAGTAATAATTTTAGCCTTTAGGAAAATACATAAACTCATGAGGAATTAAAGCATTATCTGTATTAGAAAAGGAGCTAGGCAAATAATATCAAATTCTATTTTAAGCCTTTTGAAATTTTTATAAGTTAATGGTAATTAAGTACCATTATTATCACGCAATCATAGTCCTAGGGCTAAAAGGAACCTCAGAAGTCATGTAGTTCAACCCCTTCTCAAACTCTGAAGATGAAGAAACTGAGATCAAGAAAGATTAAATAACTTTCCCCAAATCACACACAAGTAGTACACATCAGAGGCAGGATTTAAATCCAGTACTCTTTCTATTGTACTATGTTCCTCCAGTACACAAACAGCCAGGTTCAAGTAAGTGAGATTTAATAGACCATTATAACCTGAACACTGAGTAAACTGATTTCCAGGTCAGTAACAACTACAAATATTAAATACCTACTCTGTTCAGAGAAGGCTCCAAGAAAGAAATAGTTTATGTATAACAAGATGGCTGTTTTCAAATTTTACAATCTAATGGAGGGGAGGGGAAAAGAAAAGATACCAACATGGATACCTCTACTCTATACAACTATAAGATAAGGGCATAAAAAAATGCTATGTGAGGTCTGAGAGAGAGGTTGAGTATATTGAAAAGGAAGGAACAAGAAAGTTAGGGGAGGTTTCATGAATGTGACATCTGAGTTGGGCTTTAAAAAGATTAGGTAGGCAGCAAATTGGCAAAGGGAGAAGTGAACTGGTCCAATCATTTTAGAAAGTAATCTGGAATTATTTGAAGAAAATGTTCATAACCTTTGACCTAGAGATTCCACTACTAGGCACACAACTTAAAGAGGTCAATAATAAAGATTCCACATATACCAAAATATTTATAGTAGCACTTTTCATAGCAGCAAAGAACTTGAAACAAAGTAGACACTCATCGATTAGGGAAATGGCTAAAAAAATTATGGTATATGAATTTAATAAAACATTGATGTGCTATAAGAATTAATGGTTATGATAAATACAGATAAGCACAGGAAGACTTACATGAACTGATCCAAAGTAAAGCAAACAAAATGCCAGGAAAACAATATTTGCAATGACTACAATAATGTTAATTGAAAAGAACAAAACAAAACAAAACGAAATAAAACACTGCAAAATTATGATCAAACTTGGTCCCAAAGAAAAGATATGTGACTGCATTTTCCCTTGCTTCATTGCAAATGTGGGGGCCTGTGGGTTTGAAACAAAGTCTACGATGTCAAACAATTTCAATATGTTGGCTTAGATTAATAAACATTTTCAACTTTTCATTTTTTATTATAAGGTATAGCTCTCCAGAAGGGAGAAAAGGAAGAGAAAGGGAAACATTGGGAAATGCATTCAATGTAAAAACCAAAATATCAATAATTTTTTTAATTTAAAAGATGAGTAGTAATTCAACAGGCGAAGAAATAGCGGAAAGTTATTTCTGGAACAGGGAACACCCGATCCAAGCTACAACTGTGAACAGCACAAAAGTGAGAAACAGAACTTAAAAGAGACATGGTTTTATTACCACTTTCAAACACCTTCTCTAGAGCTGGTACAACACAGGGGGTCGCCTTACTACCTCACTCCAGGAGGGGGCACCAGTCCCAAGGAAATGACAATTGCAAGCAGCTGCAAGCAGTTTAAATCAACACTAGTGTGCTCAACTCAGCTGCCATTTCATTGGCTCATTCAGGTATGCCAAAAGTAACAGAGCTGTGGCCAATTTGACAAACCTCTCCCTCTCTCTCCAAACATTCCTCTAATCCCATAGATTTTAGCCTCCTGTTGATCTCAAACTCCTTCCAGAATGAGAATATAAAAGAAAAATTATCCTATGATTTATTTAAATGAAATATAAAGGAATCCCTACCTTTTAAAATAAAAAAAAACAAAAGACTGGAAAATTGCCATACCAGTTGCCATTTTAAATAAGCTGCTATTTTTCTGTGTACTATGAAATGTACTTTCCTTCTAAACTATTCATTTTTGAGACCTCTAAAAATCATTCTTCAAGTAGTCGCCAAACACTTGATACCTCTGTTTCTAGGGGTGAGGAACCTGTGGCCTCAAGACCATGCGGCCCTTTAGGTCTTCAAGTGTGGCCCTTTGACTGAATCCACACTTCACAGAACAAATCTAGGCCGCATGTTGCCTCGAGGATGCAGGTTCCCCATCCCTACACAGAGCACTTTTCTTGATGGTAAAGATTTAAGAGCCTGAAATAATCCAAATTTTTTTCTACATAACAATACATTAAGAGCATATTTTTAAAATTATCTTAAAAAAAGAAAGCAAGTTAGAGTCTCTCAATTTTTCTCCAATTAAAAGTAAAAGCATAAAAAGACTTAAAATGCTTACTTGCAATATGAAAACTAACTTTAACATCTTTTAACTTACATGCAGTATTCCACCTACCAATGAAAAGCCTCAGTACTACCTAAAGAATCTAAAGTTATTTCCAACCCTGCCCCCAACACTTTTAGTATTTAACATCAAAGAAGCTCCATGATAGTTTGAGGTCTAAAAGTCAATCCAGCTCCATTTCCTCAAACAAAATATGTTGATGCTTGTTACTTCACTAGTAATTCCCCTATTACATAATTTTTAAAAAAAACAATAAAATTCTTAATCTCTATATCCTCAAAAAGGTTATTTGAGCATAACTGAACTAACAAAAGCTGTAACAGCATGATACACAATTAAAAAAAAACAGACATACAGTAAGAAGTCTCAATCATAGGAACAGAACTTGGGCACTTTGTTTTAACTGACACTTTTTCAAAAGATTACTAACCAAATCTATTAAGTATTGATCAGGAAACTCAAAGAGAAAGCGATTACCTATTTGTTTCATTCATCTCTTCAATTTGATAAAATTCAACAACCATTTGAGGAGCAGGCACTAACAACCTGGAGAAATCAGGAAAGATGTCCTATAGAAGGCGGCTGCTGAGCTGAGCGTACAGAAACTAAGGATTCTATGAGATGGCAGTGAAGTTCTTGGCAAACATAAAACTTGCCTGCTTGTGGCAGGGTAAAGAGGTACGTGGATAAAAAAAATTTACATTTTATTACTAGTGTAGCTACCCTGATAGCAGGAAGATAAATCCTACTATAGAATACATTGACCCTTACCTCATTCTGAGGAGCTTCCATAGAAATGTGTAATGTCTCATATTTGGCATATATATGTATATACACACACACATATATACATATATATATATACATATATATATATACACACACACACACACACACACACACACAGTGAAAATAATTTTGGCAAATAACCTACACATTCACAAAGATACATTCAATATTGCAAGAAATAATAGCCATTTCCCCCCTACTATATAGGTCCTGATTTTCTCCAAACTTGAAAGACTAGGTCTAGGTCACTTCCAAACAACATCTACATACCTCAAAGATGAGCCAGAAATCAGCAACTCTATCATTCACAGCAAATTGTTAACACTAAGAAAGGGAACATTTAAAACTGATAAGATAGCCAAGTAGTTCACAGCTATTCTTATCAAGACATGATCTTCCCCAAAGATTATTTTAAGTAAAAATAGTTATCAAGTTTCTGTGGAATCCAGACTAGATCACCAAAATGGTCCAGAAATCTAAGTAAGAGTGAGATCAGAAGAAGGCCTGCAATATTTAAATATAAAGCAATAAATGCCTCAGGAGAGAAGCTGTGCCATCCCCGTGAAAAGATTAGTTCATCTCCTTAACTCACAATCATTTCCTATCTCACTGAGCCTCTTTAAATTCTGGAGGAAAAATAATCCTCCCCATACTTGAATTTGTAGACACAAAAAAGGTTGACAACGTTTTAGGTCTACTGGACACAAGCACCATTTACCATATCAGTAAAGGCCCTAAATGCAATTGGTGGATTCATTTCATACAATTTAAGGCTTCATCCTCATGTCTTGGGGATGCTGTTTATATATAAACTAGAAAGACTCACCTGTACTTCAAAATTAACAATTCCACTATTTCCTACTCCCACTTCAGGATCGCAAATCCCTCAAACTATACTAATAAGTATGGTAAAAATAATAACTAAAACTCATTGACTTTCATTTCTCTGAAACTTCATTATACCTAAAGTTTCTTATACCTGTATTTGCCTTTTATCCAAAAAGTGACTCCTACTTTTTCTAAACCCACTCTAAAGCAAGCTAAAATTAAATACCAGGCTAGAGAGAAGCATCCTAACCTCCTCCTTTACTCTGGTGACCCCAACAAATCTTGGATTCCAAGATCTGTGGTGCCTAGCAAATGATAAAAAATGAAAATAATTTTTCCCAATTAATTGTGAAAATATTAGCAAAATTCCCCCTTCCCTGTTTTAATTAAAAGACCAATAACTAAATATTCCTTTTTGTCCACATAACACTTACCTTTTTCAACATGTCTGAGAGAATTCCAATTTTATTGTAAAAGGGCTATGAAATGCCAAATAAAATTTTATAGTTATGTGACAAGATCTCCCTTTTTACATGCACAAAAAAGGACAATGGTAACTCACAAAACTCTCAGGTACCCAGAAATTATTTAGAATTCCTATCAACCACGTTCTTCATGGCCACAAACAAATGAGACAATCCTTACTTTTGGGGGGCTGAAAATTAATGTAGTGGAAATAGTGTTGCCTTTGGAAGTTAGAGAACATGAGAGTGAAATACCCATGTGACCCTTGGCAAATAACTTCCACTCTAAATCTATGATCCCATTTTAATATTTAATATTTTAATTTTGCCATAGAAGAGACTTACCTTCTCATAACAACTCTGAGTTTTTTGACCTTTCCCTCCCCATCTTACCCCCCTTTTTAAAAATAAACATTAGGGCCCATAAGTAGACAAAATTTTATTGTAAACAGAAGGGTTTTCCTTTTAGCACAGCAGCCAGTATCAAGATAACCAGAAAGCATCCAAGGTAACAGCAACACAGTACTAAACTTCCCTTCTGTAAAGGTTAATTCAAAAAAATAAGTTCCCAATTAAGAAATTATCACATCATGTGGCCTGGGGTCTCCTAACTCAGAATGAATTAAAAGGTATATGTACATATATAAATATATGTGTGCCTGTATATGTATGTGTGTACATATATGTACGTGTACATGTACACAAGCACATGTGTGTCTCTCAAAAGTCTTAAAACTACTCTGAGACATCTGGAACACCCAGCATATATTTTTAAAGCCTTTAAAATATTCTCATCTCAATTTGATAGATGTCAGGTGATGTCATCGCTGGATACTCTCTAATGATGAATGAACACTAAATTACTGTCCTTTAAAGAGGGGGACCACTTTTCCTGCAAGTCCTAGCCGATTCTTAACATCGGCCACTCCTGGACACAAAGTCACTTGCTCTGGACAGGAGGGGCAGGATGAAGAGGCCAGGACCTCTGGCCCCTGAGTGAATAATGATGATGACGACGATGATGATAAACCGGAATAACGCCGCCCGGCTCCCCACCTCCCTCTATGGGCTGGGAAGCCCCGGACCGGCGCGGGATCCACAACCCGCCTTCTCCCCCCGTGGGCGCCGCCCCCCGCTGCGGGGAGGCCTGGGGGGGGGGGGTCGGGCCCCTCTCTGAGGCCGTATTGTTTGTTCTGCCTGCGGGAGAGGCCTAACGGGCTCCTTCAGAGCCTCGGGCTCGGGTAGTCCCGCGCCTGCCTCTGCCCCGCGGCACCCCCCCCGGCAGGGAGGCCCCGGGAAAGTGGGCGGCCTGCGGCGTCCCAGCCCCTCCCTTCCCCACCTGACCCCCCCCCCACAAACCCCAGGAAAAGACAATACATTTTAACGCCATTGGAGTTGCCTCCGTGTGGCGGCTGCTGCTTCTCCAGCTCCTGCTGTGGCTGTAGCTGTTCCTGACCCGACTCCTCCTGCAGCTCCGGGGGCGACGGCTGCTGACGCGGGGTGTTGTCGCCGGCGGCCCCGGGCACTTCGAGCTTGTCCGTCTCCGCCATCCCGCCGCTGCCTCTGCCACCTGCGCTGAGGGGGGCTCCGAGCGCGACAATGGCGGCGGCAGGGGAAGCGGTAACGGATCCCGATTTGAAAAGGCCCCGAGCGCTCGGCTGCCCGGATCTCGCGAGAACGGGTCGGGACTGGTCCGGGAGGGGATGGGGGAGATGATGGGGCGAGATGGGTGCGACGCGGGGGTGGGGGGCAGCACCGCTAGGGGTCAGCCGGGTGCACGGCAGCCAAGGCCCTGCCTTGACCCTGTGGCGCCAGCAGGGCGGAGCCAGAGCACCTTGATTGCCCCCTTTCCCTTAGAAAGGGGTAGATCAGTTGTCCCCCAGCACCCAGACCATCAGCTGCACTTTTGTAGTTGGCAGAAACAAAGGTATTCGTCCCCTCGTGGGACACTAACGCCCAAGGACCGAGCCCTGGTGCTCATTCATCATCTGCTTGGGAGGTGCTAGTAGAGGAACTGCATCCCTGTGTGAACCTTGAAGACCTGGCAGAGGCTCCAGGCACCCCTAAGAAATCCCTGGAATGATCCAAATAAATCACTCAACACCTGTGATTCCAACGCCCGTGCAGCCTGTAGGCATTCAATAAATACTTATTGACTGAATGATTCCAGCTCACCCTGTGAATGGCTTTAGGTTTCTAGGATACAAGAGATGCTATTGCTGCGGAGATTTCCTGGTGCTTAAGATTTCAGCCCGTAATAATAGGGTTGTATTTTAAAGTTTTGTGGGCATCAATCAGTGGGAGGGGAAAAAGAATCTATCCTTTTCATAAACAATGTTAAAAATTTCCACCCTGGATTCTGTTAATATTAAGTATTTTTCAGCTTTTGATTATGTGTTTATTACATGCTAATGGAAATCTTATTTGAAGCCTTTGAGGACAATCAAGTAAATTTAATTATGGAGTTTTAAAATATCATCATGATTTTTTTCCCCCTAAGGATAGAAGAGAAACCCATCAAACTCAATCAGCCCCTAACTCCCACACATTCTTAAGTACTATCATGGCACTTCACCCTGATGTGGTCTACTTCAGCTAAAGATTTCAAAGCCCTTCACAAAAGTTTAATTTCACAGATGGAGAAGTGGACATCCAATAGATTTAAGTTATTTATAGAATGTCACACAGAAAGTTGATAAAGCTGGAATCATAGGATTGTAGATTTAGAGCTGAAAGGGACCCTAAAGTTTATAGTCTCCTACCCCTTTATTTCATGAATAAAGGAGTCCAAAATCTGAGCCCCCTCTCCACTGTACCACACAGAGGCCAAGATTCCAGTTCCTTCTCCTCTCTTCTGATCTCCGGGAAGGGTTTTAAGGCCTGGTCCACACTGACAAAGCAAATTCAGATGGCTCATAGGGCCATAGATTTAGAACTGAAAGAGGCCTCAGAGGTCACCTACTGCTAGAGATGTCAAACTCCACGTCCAGAACATATTAAAATGTAACTGAGAAATGTTTGACAAAATAAATAGAAATACAGTACAAACCCCAAAAAGTTAATTTGTGGTTTTCTAAGTCAATATGTTGCTGCAGGAATCTGTTTATCTTTGAGTTTGACACCACTGATGTAAAACAACCCCGTAATTTCACCGATGAGGAAAATGAGTCTGGATGAAGTAAATGCCTTGCCCAGGGTCATGCATGGGGGGAGGCATAATTTGAACCCAGGTTCTCTGACTCCAGAAACAGTGTTTTTTCCACTATACCGTGTTACCTCCTACTGGTTCTCTCATTTTTTCCTTTCCCCTCCCCACCCACATTTTGTAATATTTTATCAGTTACTATACAGAGGATATGAATATAGATAGAGAGCTGGTCTCAGAGTCAGGGATTCCGGTTTATGTCCTGCCTCTGACACATGCTGACTGTGTGATCCTAGAAAAGTCACTTAACATCTCAGTGCCCCCAAGCAACTGTTTAAGATTATTTCAGAGAAGGTACTGATCTGCCTAGGTAGAGAAAGCTCCTCACTGGGTGTTCCCTACACCAGCAAAAACACATCATCAGGAAAATAAATAACTGATATACTATCCAAACCTGTTCCCAAAGCATATAGTATTTATGAGGAAATAAGTGAAGGTACTTCATGGAAAGTCATAGAATCAAGTGCACTTACAATCATACACTTTTATTTATGCTACCACTGTGGAGACTCCTGCCCACTCTGCACTTCCCAAGACAGAACTGAGAGCTAGATGTGGAGCCAGGAAAACCTGGGTTCAGATCCTTCCTCAGACACTTGCTAGTTGTATGATCCTAGGCAAGTCATTTAACCTCTCTCTACCTCAGTTTCCTCATCTGTAAAATGGGGATAATAAAGGCACTTATTGAAGAGAAAATACAACACACGTGCATACACACTATGCTATGCATGTACATATAAACATATGTACATAAATGCACATATTCATGTATTTATATGGTTTTGCCAACTTTAAAGTTCTACATAAATGTTAACTATTATTATGTACAGACTGTACTTAGGGATTGCTCCAAGTAAGACAAACCAAGCAGGATCAGGTGGTGTTCAGCCTGTCTCCCAAGTCACCTTTCCACCCTTTAACATGCATTTCATTCTTTGGTGGAGTCTATGGATATAGGTATTTCTTTTACCCCTCCAAACCTTCTCATCTTATCAGATTCTAGTCTGCTTTTCTTCAGATTTTACCCATAAAACTTTGATAGATGACCTATAATGTGATGAAGGACTTTCTTCTTTTAGGATCTCTGTGGTTACCAATGTGCCACTCATGGTAGCCATGAAAAATTCTCCATTTCTAATCAGACTGCCTACATTACTGGTCACAGATGTCCTTATTATTGTCATCTCTGCCTTACAAGTTGTGATTACTGATAACAAGCTGAGGTCATACTCACCATTCTTCTTTCTTCGTTTAATTTTTTTGGTAGGTCCAGATCTTTTATTTCATAGGTATAGGGAATTGCTAGGATGGAAACTCCCTCCACAGATGCAGACTGGCAACTCATCTGTAAATTAGAGGTAGGGCTTGAACTCAAGTCTTCCTGACTCCAAGACCAGTCCCCTATTCATTACACTAAGGTACCCTTTTGCTAATTTGCTATTTTATTCTTTTGATATCTTAGCCCATGATTTTCAGTCATATTGTGTCACCAGGAGAAAATTAGCTTTAAAAAGAGGAAGTCTTTTGCAGGACACATAGTGGGTGCTTAAAAAAACCAAACTAGTTGACAGCTCAGCCCCGAAGTTATCCCATTTGCAGTTTTACACCAGACCCTCATTGCATCATAATTTGATTTCTGAGGCTCTCTTCCACACTTAATATTATATTTAGTTTCAGCTATCCTGGCAAATGACCACCTAAGGTCCCTCTGCCCACACACAGACTTTTTGCTTCTCTCCCATCTTCCGTCTCTAAGATTAATCTTCCCTTGCCTGTCAGATTGTCATGCTAAGCATTTGCAAAAATTGTTCTAGCTGCCTACTACCCAGTTTTCTTTCTTACTAGCTATTATCTGAATATGACTCATATACCTAGAAATTGAGTAAAACCTACCACACATCATGGGATTTAAAGCTGGAAGAGATTTTATATAGTCCAATCTCCCCATTTCAATTGATAAGTGATTCATGTGGCAATATCCTTTAAAAGAAAGAGTAACTTAAAGGATGAAAATAACTAAAAAGAAATGTTGTGAAAGGGAATGCATACAATGATTATTATTTCAGAATTTATTGAAAACGTTTATATTTAAAATTTTGTCCATATTAGAAGCCGCTGAATTTTTTATTTTTAAGAATTTGTTAGAAGACAAAAAGAATTGAATCATTTTCAGTAAGTTGTAAGTGGTCTTCATTTGATACTTGTAAACACTGAAAGTTGTTCTTTGTACTATTTGAAGCTTTAATTTTTTTGCTGAGAAGCTGACTCTGTGAGAAAGAACTAAAAGAACTATGTGAGTGTCTGTGCTTTAATTTCTACTAGAAAGCAAATGGTTAGTTTATGCTGATATCATCTTACTGCCTTTGGTGTATTGGTCAGAAACTAATATCATCCAGTCCTTGGTCATATGCCTCTCTCTCTCTCTCTCTCTCTCTCTCTCTCTCTCTCTCTCTCTCTCTCTCTCTCTCTCTCTCTCTCTCTCTTTCTCTCTCTCTCTGTCTCTGTCTCTCTCTGTCTCTGTCTCTGTCTCTGTCTCTGTCTCTGTCTCTCTCTCTCTCTCTGTCTCTGTCTGTCTCTCTCTCTCTCTCCATCTCTCTCTGTCTCTCTCTCTCTCCCCCCTCCCTACTTCCTTCTCTCACCTCTTGCTCTCACTCTCTTTCTCTATCTGACTCTCTGAACTGCTGTGCTCTCTCTGCTGATAATTCCCTATTTTTCTCTTGCGCATCACCTGATTTTCATCTGACAGGCTAATTTTTAGGGACCTCTTTTTGCCAGAGTATATCTTCCAAAAAATATATTCAGAGGAACAATCTCTACTTATAGCAGAGTGAAGATAGATTCAAGGCAATTATTATCTGAATAATTCAGGCATAAATTCCACTTTTGCTTCAATTATCCAAATAATTTCAGTGACAGAAATCCAAGTATTTTGCCTGAATTAGCTAGAGAATTGCTTCATCTTGCTATTGCTCTGGCTTGCTAGGTTCACTACCATTGCTTTTTATTTTTTTACTTATTTAATTTTAAAGAAACATTGGGAGTTCATTTCATTCAAGCCTGAACACTTTTGTAAAATTTTGAGTTATTTCTTATTTTCTGTCTGATTTCTAGATATTTGACCTAGCACCCTAAAGCTGCTTATCAAACTGACTAGGTTATAAACTTCATGAAAGCAAGGACTTAAACTTTGTATGAGACAGCTAGGTGGCCCAAAGTTCTGGACCTGAAATCAGGAAGATGAGTTTTCCGGAGTTCAAACCTGGTCTTAGACACTTAATTTCTGTGTAACCCTCAGTAATTCACTTAACCCAAGTTTGCCTTAGTTTCCTCATCTGTAAAATGAGCTCAAGAAAGAAATGGGAAACTACATCAGTATCTTTGCCGAGAAAACTCCAAGTGGGGTTATGAAAAGTTGGACAACTGAACAACAAAAGAATTTTTTTTATCTTCTCCAACAGCTACCACAATTCCT